ACGAGATGCCTCTTAAATTGTTGTGACCTCATTTAAGATTACATAGGCCATGCTATACCACACTTCCACTCCTATTTATCATGTTTATTGTCCAAACTCCTGCTGCCTGCAGACTTTTCTCCTAGGAACATACTCTTCCCCTGGTCCACAGGCCTTGACTGTGATCCTTTGGGGTGATTTCAATTTCCATAGAAGTAACTCATTTGACACCCTTAATGCATAGTTTCTTTGTCTCTCCAGCTCTAGTGACTATCAGCACCACTCCATTTCAGCCACCCATTTATCCCATGCCTGTACCCTGAACTTCAGATCACTTAGAAATAAATACTTCTTTCATGTCCCAATGTATTCCATCTTTCTTTTTTGATGATTTCCCAGTCCAGCCTAAAGGCCCTTCAGTCACTTTGTTAGCACTACATTCTACACTGCACCCTTTTCTCACTGCACTAGCAGACAAAATCCCGACACTGTGTCCACCATACCATCCTTCTTCTTTGGGCTACTGGAAAAACCCACACAGCTAGTCAGACTAAGACCCACACAAATCTGTGGGTCTCCAGGCCCAGCTGGGCCCATAGCTGCCATCATGTCTGCTTGCTCTTTACCCAGTATTAATAAAGGTCAGCTCAATACTCCACCTTTCTTCTCAAAGCTCCTGTTATACTTCCTTACCATTTCCTCTCAACATATGACTCTACCTTTTTTTAGTTTAATTCATAATGAACATTTAAGACATAATAAAGTTATAAAGAAATGCATATTTTGTTCCTGTTACCCAGTTTAATAAATAAAACTTTCCCAATACGGTTGAAGACCACCTGTTCCCTCCCATGGCCCTCCTTCCCAGACTTCACAACTATTCTGATCTTAGGGTATATCGTGCATTTCTCTATAATGCACTTCGTGTGTATGCACTGCCAAGCAGTATAGAACTGTAGAGTACTGTTTACATGGTTTATGATTTAATGCATGATTTAGCTTTTTTTTTTTTTTGAGATTATTGTGGGAGCAATTCCTTATGTCTTTACATATCCTAAATGGAAACCAGAACCTTCTGTTTTATGAATATGTTTTCCCAGTATGTGCTTTGTTTTTCACTTTGTATGGTATCTTTTGCTCACAGAACATTTTAAAGTAGTCAGATGCATTAATCTATTTCTTTATGGTCTATGGTTTTGAAGTTGCATTGAAAAATCTTTCCCTATAGAGAGTTCATAAATATGCCTTCTTCCTGAAAAGAAAAAAAAAATTAGGCCACTGGGGAGAACATTCTCAACTTCATATCATGCCCCATAGTCTACTCACTTCCCTTCCTTTCATTACGGTGGATTGTGTCATCTAGATTTTTCTTCTCCCTTTCTCCTTAATCTTCAGTTTTTCTCTCGTTCTCCCTCTGATTCTGGCTATGTCACCTCAGCATTTAAATTTATTTTTTAAAAAACTCTCATGAAGTTTTCAAATTGAATTCTAAGAAGGTATTTCAGGAAATTCACGGGAAGAAAGAATACTCACTGTAGAAATTTCATTTCCTTTGGCTTAAGTTAATTATTTTTTAAAATTATACCCGATGTCCTTTTTTTTCTTTAGAATATGTTCTCAATATTTAAAATAAATTCCTTTTATTTTAAAGGGAGAATTATGTTGGAAATTTTTAAATATACCACAAAAATTGTTTTAATTAGAAGAAAACATTTTAACTTGCGGGAGGAATGGCAAATTTCACTCATTGAAAGGACCTTCTTCTTTTTTTAACTCTATAATTTGGTCTATAATAAGCATTCACTAGCTGAGAGGAGGTAAACAAAACAAACATAAATGAATAAAAGCTTTCAAATTTTGGTCCACTGTTATTTAAATCTTCATTTGATAAAATAATTTAAGCCACATTAGAAAACACTTGTGTTCAAGTATCTCTCTGCCAACCTCCCCTCTCCCTTCCTTCCTTCTCTTCCTAAGATAGTGTCACATGTGTGAGGAAAATGGTCTCACATGACCATGTGACAATGGACAAATGGAACTCCCTGGTCTCATGCCGTTACTGGGTGGATACTTGTTCTTTTCCACTGAGGCATGGCAGTCTGGCCCAATTACCCACATCTGCCTTGAGTAACCTGTACATTGTCCTCTCTCAGCCCGGTCAGTGCTTTCTGACCACCTGGGCCTCATTTTGGCTCCTGATGGCACAGAAAACCTACTGAGTTTGGGACAGATCCTCTATCTGCTTCTTGACCTGTGAAGCTAATGCCAGACCTCTGCTGCAGGATCACCATATATATCCCTTTAGTCAGGTGTCCCAAGATTGACCTGCTAGATCTCAGCTCAGCTTCCTCATTATCCCCCCCCTTTGATATCCAGTAGTTGCTTCTTCTTCTTCTTGTACAATTTTATGTGCCTGTCAGATTGTCCTTTAAAATGTGAAGTATGGCCGGGTGTGGTGGCTCACACCTGTAATCCTAGCATTCTGGGAGGATCACTTGAGGCCAGGAGTTTGAGACCAGTCTGAGCAAGAGCGAGACACCATCACTACAAAAAATAGAAAAAAAATTAGCCAAGTGTGGTGGCACGTGCCTGTAGTCCCAGCTACTTGGCAGGGGGTGCTGAGGCAGTAGGATTACTTCAGTCCAGGAGTTTGAGGTCGCAGTGAGCTATGATCACACCACTGCACACTAACCCAGGTAACAGAATGAGACTCTGTCTCAATAAATAAATAAATAAATAGTGAAGTGTACAAAATATTAACAAATATCTGTTTATTACAGTGGTGAGTGAGAAATATTGTTCAATTAAACATATTAACTATAACTACCAATCACCTCTTGTCCCTGTATGAAGAGAAATAAAAGTATTTTCTGAATATCGCGACCATTGGCTTACAGCTCTTCTGTGTGGGACAAAAGACGTGAGAACTGGACTAATTTGCACTATGCTTAAAAGCTGTCTCTTTTGATATACTTGTGGTATGCAACAACCACAATCTATTCCTGTGCATGATCGCCAAACCAAAAAATTTCCAAATAGACATAGAAAAGGAACTGTTGTACCTAACCACAACCATTTCTCGCATTACCAGCGAGAAATGCAGTTGTTTTCTGGAGCTTTGTCATCGATTCCTTCTGAAGCATGTGCTTTGGTAACAAGTACCAAATCTTAAATTTGTCCTCAGTGAAACAGAGGACCTCTCAAGAGGTTGTCACATAATCCTTGTTTCATATCATTGGCACCATTGTCTTTACAATTGGAGGTATTTTCAGTTAGTGAGCTAGTTTTGAATGGGGTAGTATGCTTAAAATGGGACGATGTTAATGACTCTTTGTAAACGTCTTACTTCAGACTTCTCCCCTCACCCCCAAATTACACAAGTACACACACGCCTACACACAGAGTTGACATTTATTTCATTAATCATTCACCATTAATGAGCTGAATGGTTATTTTGCTAGGATTCATTCATACTGCCTCACTGAGGTCTCCTTTTCAGTTTTTAAGATGACTGACCAGGATTGCAGATTGAATCTTTGGTCAAAAAATAAAGTTAACAAGTTATATAGTCCTTATATCCAAATCACACGTGCATTGTAGTCTGCTACAGATGTTATTTCACTATTAGCATTTGTCCTTGGGAGAATGTGGTGTAATGAATATGTATGTCCTTATCAAAAAAGACTTCTAAATTTAATAATCAAAAAAAACTCAGAAGCATTAGCTTATGTTAATTCAAAACATAATTTTCAAATTGATGGATTTGGTCTAACTGATGGTGCAATAGCCCTTTACCCCAAAATGTATTCTTGGTTGTATCCTTAGAAACCAATGTGTATTTATCCACCACTTTATTATAGCATTTTCTAAAGATTCAAGATGCTTTCTGGATTTAATTTTTGCCAGATGATTTTTTAAAACTAGAGCTGAATTATAAATGAAGCCACTTTGCTAAGAACAGCAAAGAATGTAGCTGCTGATTTGTGAAGTTTGAGACCGTATCAGTATTCCAAACCCAACTCAATTGCTGCTATCTCATTAAACAGCATTGGGCAGACATTTAAAGATTTTTATACATTTTAATTCAACTGGTAACTTGATTTAAAACAACATCGATTTTTAAAAAATTCATTCTTGGTCATGTATATCATTCTAAATATCAAAATGAATTTGTAACTATTTGAGGCTGTCTATATAACAGGGTATTAAATTCTTAGACTTTCCTCATGCTGACTTTCATCAATTTGCTATTGCTTTCATTTTCCCTTGAGATTTAGCTTTTTAGAATAATTATTCATTCTTTTCACCATATATCCCAATCATTAAACAATTAAACCTTTATCAGGCAGAGCAGCAAGAGACTCCATGGATAATAATGAGGTTGGAAACTCCCCTGTACAACCTGTTGGCTCATCTTGGAAGAAGAGTGTCATGCCAAATTATTTTTATGTGGTCAGGAATAATGTTCTAACAAGGGTGGATGGAGAGATGAGCATAAAGGGCAATTTTAATGGAAGGAATGAATAGTAATATTCACTTGGCAAAACGTGCTAATGCCTTGACAAGATGCTATATGCTCTTGCTGCTAAATTAGGTGCATATTAAGTTAGCAGCCCCTGTAGCTATCTGCTATCTTATAGAATGAACTGAAGGAGAAAGAATATACCTTTCAGGATTTAGAAGTCCTTCATATGACCATATAACAATTGCTTGGAGAATACCTATTTAACCCAGAGTTTATGGTGCATTAACTGTGTGAATTGGTCCTGAAAGTATGTGTGGAATAGGCAGGAAGTAATTTTATTCAAACGTAGTTGTAGTCTCTACCTACCTTTAATTCTTAGCTTTATACTGAAATACTAAGTAACTGACATCTTTACTCTTGATGTTTCCTAAGTGCAGAATTTCAGAGTGGGATATCAGGTCTTTAGTGTGAAGCTACATCTACGTTAAACCAGAAATCATTGGAAGTGACATTTGGAAAAGAAAACTTGGAAACTATATAACTGTGAACGTTGATCATGGAAATCAAAGAAGAAGGGACATCAGAGGAAGGCCAGCACTTTCTTCCTACAGCCCAGGCAAATGATACGGGGGACTCCCAGTTCACAAGTAAGTATGTGTGTGCCCCTCCCTCTGACTCCTGAACATGCTGATTGTGTCAACTAAACACTCATATGCGTGTGCATTCACAGAAACATGGGTTCTAACAAATGGCATGAGATTGCCTAAGTAGTTTTCCTTTGCGCTATTTACTTTGGTGTTGTGAGTGTACGATGTGCCTCTTGTCTTTTACCTTGGGTAAGAGAGATGATGGTCCATGAAATGGTTAAATATCAAGGATTAGAATCAAAATTTTTGAATATATACTAAGGCACTAACAAATACTTTTTAAGTATACCTAGACACTAATACTTTTTAAGAACATTTTCTACTTGGCATTTATATAATCATATGTGTGATTATTTTTTGGACCATAGAACTTTCCTTTTTAAAGCCAAAAGGTATTAAGTTGAAAGCATTAGGAAAAAATGGTTACAATAAAAGCTCAGACTGCCACTGCCATACAAGAGAGCACTAAGTCACACTTACAGAGCGAGCATGGAGGTTTTGCCAAGATTTGCATTTGAACATAGAATTGGCTTTTGTGCTACTCAAGCCATTAAAATCATTGGAAAAATTGTATGTTTTCTCTCATGCTTAAAATTCTAGGGTTTGGGTTTTATTGTTTGGCATGCATTATGTCTTTTTTTTTCTTTTTGGACAATTCCTATTGTCCAATTATTTAACACTGGCAAATATACGCCTAACCTTCTCATTTAATTTACATTAGAAAAATAACCTTTAGAAAATGGCATCAATTGGATGCATTTTTGAGAACTTTGGTTGTCAGAGCTTACAGCAGAGTTAATTGTTAATAACATTTTTTTTAAAAATCCAGACATTTGAAGTTACAAAGACCTACCTAATGATTGTCACTCTAATGTCTCTTGGAAAATCAGAAATTGTTAACCATATCGTTGTTAAATGTCAGTAGGAGAAAAAATATACAGTAATTTTGCAAAAACAATGCTAACACTGTGAATAAAAAAACATAATCTTTATTCAATAAGATGGTTCTAAAATTATATTAGTGACCAAATACCAGTAAATTTAAATAATATCTGATGAATACACCAACAAAAATAAGCAAGGATAGTATTTTTATAATATTCTTTCATTTATTGCCAAATGGTTCACTTTTCCATTCATTTTCATTTGGCTTCTTTTGGCCACCCCTGAGCTGTAACAAGGTGACATTCCGTTCCTGCACCCAGTGCATCCGCCTACTGCATTATCACTTCCTACAACCTGATCATTCTACCTCTGACCATTGGATGAGTCCCATTTCCATACCTTTGTTCTCAGACTCACTTTCCCTCTCACTTCATCTTAAATAATTTACTCATGTTGTTATATTTTTTTAAACATTAGTAACAAGATGAATGGAAACATTTAACAAACTGTTGGTTTGAGCTATCAATAAATTATCAGAGAAACTAGCACCATAACCTAGCCAGAGATATCACTTTCGTTAATAATTTACTATTTACAGCAGGTCAGAGTGGCTTGAAAGAAAAATCCATTTGAAGGGAATATTTTGGTGAGGTGGTTCTTTTGAAAGGTCTCACCTCTGTCTACATGCATCCAAAAGAAACAAGCACTGTTGAAATTTATGTTTTATATTTGTCGTGGCTTACAAAAACATTTTTTCTTGGCTTCTTTATGGATAAGAAGCTAAAAAGACCAATCAAATCTTCTTACATCTAGTTTCGCTACATTTATTATGCCCTGCCCTGAGAACTTAGTCCTTATAAGCCTGATTAACCAAGTGTATCCATTCTACCAAATAATGTATTTATTCATTCTGATCAGAGTGAAGCATAGTAATATATATTGTCATATTCTTGATAATGATTTAAATTTTTTTAAACCTGAGTGTGTACCTCTTATTTATAGGTATTCAGAAGACTCCAAATGAACCACAGTTGGAATTCATCCTTGGTAAGAGATTCCATCTTATTTGAATCAATCAGTATAAGAATTTGCTCAATAGTTTACAAGTAGTACATACATTTCTTATATTGTTACATGTTTTACAAACTTTTGTGATCAATGTTCTATGAAAAAATCCATTCTATAAGGTAGGTGTTATTTTCCCCCAATTTATAAATGGAAAAATAAGAGTTGCTGCATAGATCAGTCTGCTGCCTAAGAATTTAGGGTTCAGTGATGATAGAGTTTTGCCTTTCAACCAGGTCTGCTGACCACAGATTTTATGCCCAGCAGTCATTCTAATATGGTGGCTGCATTTTGTTGCTAACCACTGTTTCTGGAAATCTGTCTAATTTTTTACTCCTGAGGGTGGATTTTGGACATACGTCATTTTCCATTGTGTTCCTTCATGGCATTTATAGGATTCTTGCCCCTTTCTGTCTTACTCAAAAATATCCTCTGACTCTTCCATGTTGATTTTGTGGACAGACCCTTGCCATTTGAGAATTTAACTTTACATCCAAGCTTTGACTGGCTTAAGCAACTCTAACAATCTGTCACATGTAGAAATTTGTAACTTTGTCCAAGGATGCTTTCAAAATGTGCACTCTGAGACTGTCCACTACTTAGTGAGTGGAAACTGCTTTATATTTGAATCAAGTATGACTGCAAAAATACTATTAGGAAATTAGTTGCAAAAAGTTATTTAAAGAGGGTAAAAATATGGTTCATATGAACTATATAAAGAGGTCTTTTTTTTCTCTCATAGTTCTGAAATATTTTGAAGGGGCAAATATATCTTTACATTTTATTATTAACTAGGTTTTATCAACTAACATGTACATATTCAATTTTATATGCAAAGATCAGATATATTTTAGTATCAATCTTTACAGATTAATATACATATTTTCTAAAGTTTTGGGGGCAAATTGAAATATATACATACATTATATTGCATTTTAGTGGTTGGAATTTCCTGTTTTCTTAGGAACATACATTTTTATTAATTATGCTTCAAATTTATATCCTTTGCTCAAAATATTTCATTTTGAAGTATAACTTATTGAGATAATAATTGTAGGTAATTTATATTTTGGACATTTTATTTTTATTACAAATGTAGCTAAAATATTCTATAAATTAAATAATCTAGATTTTTAAATTTTCCTAGATATTGAGAAATAGGCAGAAATGTGATAACTCAAGAAACTTTTGTGGTAACACCAATAAAGGTATTCTTTCTTTTTCTAGAGAGTTTTCAGATGGTATCAGACATATTACTAGAAAGCACTTGTTTTCAGAAAGAGAGCTGAGGAGCAAAGGGAAGCCTAGGCACCTTTTGACTCACTGACTATAACTTTTGCTACTTGAGCCTTCATCTAGCCATCTTTCATTTTTAAGGGAAGAAACTCATTTTTTACCTTTTGGAAAGGTAAAAGTGAATATCTTCTAGAGTGATCTGGTATATTTCAAAGCATAAATAAAACTTTCTTGTTTGTATGCTGGAGAAAGAGGAATCTGAAGGAGACAGAAGCAATTGGAGTAGATACTGTTAGGTAAACATGGTGGCCACCTTTTAAGAGACAGGCCAAATACCTGTCTTCTATTTCAATTAAAATAATCTGCCTGAGACCACCAGAGTGCTAGCTGTCCTCCATTCAGACTCTTCTCCTTCCCTGCCTCTCCCTGACCCACAGCTGACAAGAGAGGTTGGAGCCAGGCCTCTCAGGAAAGGCTGCTTCCCTTCTGTTGATGCACACTCCACGCGGAGGCTTCCACAGAGAGTGGGACTCAAACCTCTCCCTTTGAAAACATGTAGTGAGCTCAGGGATGCTCGGACTGTGCGTTCTCTGCTCACTGGCCATCCCTAGTGCTGCTTTCCCAGCTGCTCCATCAGAGCAGTGCACACCCCAAAGTGGAGGGACATCAAACCTGCTTGAGCACCCCGTAGGCAACTTGAGAACAGCACACTTCTCCCTGGCACAGTCAGGGATTGATCTCTGGGGACTCAGGGACAGGCTCACAGGCCAGATCCTAAACCCCCAGGACTCGATCATATTGCCTGGGGGCACACAGAGGAGATTGTGAACTAATCTAGGAAGGCAAGGGAGCCCACATGGGCAGAACTGAGAGGACAGCGCAATGTGGATCTGAGCTGCAACTCACTGGTGGAGCACCCCTCCTGCACTGGAAGGCCAGACTCTTGGCCCGGGATGGGATTCTGGATGGGGAGCTTGGCTGGTTTGGGCTCCTGTCTACTGGCAGACACTAGAAGAACACTGCAGGGCAGGGGAGGGGGGAAAAGAGTGAAACCCACACCTGACAGCCAGATTGTGAATCTCTGTTACCCATCCCCAGAAGCAGACTTTCTGGCTTGGTGGGGCATTTCAGCCGCACCCCCCCCCCCCGACCGTCCCCCATGGCGGGAAGAAGTTGTAATCAGTTGGTGCAAGGGCTAGTGAATACAGTGGATGACAGAGAGTTTCCAAGTCCAGCTTCTGCGTTTGAGCAGCATTGTTTGTGTGACATGTGGTTAAGCATTGTTTTGCAAGAGGATTGGTCTGTCTCTATCAGCCAGTCTCAGTTACTTAATCACAAGCGTCCTCATCATTTCATCCAACTGGTTGCTGTAGACATCCGCTGTAATCGATTGACCAAGTTTCATGAAGCTGTAGTGGATAATATCAGTGCTGGACCACTGAACAGACACCATTAGCTTTTTTTGATGAATATTTGGTTTTGGATTGTGTTTCAACACTTCATCTTTATCCAACCATTGTGCTGAACATTTGCAATTGTCAAAAAGAATCCATTTTTCATCACAAGTAACAATACAGTGTAGAAATTGTTCGCCTTTATGTTGTGACTGCAAAGAAAGGCAAACTTCGAGAAGATTTCTCTTCTGACGCTCATTTCCTTCATGCGGTACCCATCTATCCAGCTTCTTTACCTTGCCCATTTGTTTCCAATGGTCGAACATTGTTGGAATAGTAACGTCAAACCTTACTGGTAATTCATGCATAGGTTGAGATGGATTTGCATCCGTGACAGCTTTCAGCTCATCATTATCCACCTTGGTCTCAGGTCGCCCATGTGGCTCATTTTTAAGATTAAAATCACCAGAATGGAACTTCTCAAACCATCAATGTACTGTGCGTTCATTAGCTCCATCCTTCCCAAACACCTCATTGATATTCCGGGCTGTCTGTGCTACATTGCTTCCATGACAGAACTCATATTAAAAAATAACACGAATGTTTGATTTATCCATGGTTTCACAAAAATTGCTCTAAAAAGTTTGAAAGATAATCACAAGCCAAACTGTGCATTTGAAAGAATGAGGATGTACCTTCACAATAAAAACAAAACAAAACAAAAAGTGTCAACGTGAAATGTCAGAGGTATCAACTATCAAACTTAATACTTAAGGAAATCGGACGTTTCATACTTAATTACCTAATATATATCTGATAAAGGGCTAATAACCAGAATCTAAAAAGAACTCAAGCAAATTAGCAAGAAAAAAAAAACCCCTTTAAAAAGTGGGCAAAAGATATGAACAGAACATTGTCAAAAGAGGATAGAAAATGGCCAATAAATACATGACAAAATGCTCAACATCACTAATTATCAGGAAAATGCAAATTAAAACCACAGTGAGATATCACCTTACCCCAATTAGAATATTTTTTATTAAAAAGTCCAAAAACAATAGATACTGGCATGGATGCAGAGAGAAAGGAACCCTTATACGCTGTTGGTGGGACTGCAAATTAATATAACCTCTATGGAAAACAGTATGGAGATTCCTCAAGGAACTAAAAGTAGACCTACCATTTGATCCAGCAATCCCATTCCTGGGTAGCTACCCAAAGGAAAGGAAGTCATTTTCTCAAAAAGACACCTATACTCGAATGTTTATTGCAGCACAATTCACAATTGCAAAAATTTGGAAACAACCCAAGTGCCAATCAGTGCACGAGTGGATTAACAAAATGTGGTATATGTATACCATGGAGTACTACTCAGCCATAAAAAATGATGAATTAATGCCTTTTGCAACAATTTGGATGGAACTGGAGACCATTATCATAAGTGAAGTATCTAAAGAATGGAAAAACAAACACCACATGTACTCGCTATTAAATTGGAACTAACCAATAAGCACACATGCACAGAGGGAAGTAAAACTCAGTGGAAATCAAGCAGGAGGTAGGGAGGATGAGGGGATGGGCAAATACCTACCTAACGGGTACAATGAATACTATCTGGGTGATGGGCACACTTATAGCCATTACTCAAGCATTACAAAAGCAATCCATGTAACCAAAAACATTTGTACCCCCTTAATATTTTGAAATAAAAAAATTAAAATCTGTCTTGTTCAAAGACTAACTATGCTCTTTGTTTTGAAAGCCTAGTCGAGGTCAATAGCAATGCTGTCATCACTTATATTTCTGGTTTTGATTCAGATTTAAGAGATTAGCAGCTTTGAGAATGTATTCATAATACTGTTCCTCCAGTTTAAGAAAGCTTCAATTTTATTTTTTCTATTTTTGTTCAAAACATATACTAGAATTCTTAACAGATAATTTCATCTTAACAATTGGTAAGAAATGCCTGACGAGTGAATAAAAGCTTACTACAGAGAG